AGCCCCAAGCCCACTAAACCCTAAACCCTTAACCCTAAACCTACTAGTCGTAACCACGAAAGGCAAAAGCTGGATGAGCTCAGCTCCAAAACTGTTCCTTGCATGAAAGTTAATGGTTACGGCATGCTAGCCTTTGGTTAGCTAGGAATGAAGGAATGGACCCTTATAGTCGTCCCTATATAACCCATTATAGTAGGTTCCATTTTTTGCCATTCCAACCCTAAACCCTAAGCCCTAAACCCTGTATATCCCATTATAGTAGTTCCTATGTTCTGTTCCAATTCCCAGCTAGTCAAAGGCCAGCTTAGGGTTCGAGGGATCAAGGTCAGCAAACAAGGTTGATGCCCTCTAGGTATAGTCACGTGACTTATGGCCCCCAATGAGGATCAACCCGAAACACTAAACCCTAAACCCCACAGACCTCTAAGTGAGGCATTACATGGGGGTTTCCCAAAATGAGGGGTGCCTTTTTAGGGAAGGATTCTCGTATTTTTGGGGTCTAGATTGGGGTCCCCTTATTTAAGGGAACTACCACATAACAACTTGTGCTCAAAGTGGGCGGTGTTGGGACCCGAGGTGTCCTTTCGGAGGGGCGAGTCTCTGTTAAGGGTAGTAAAAATTTGGTGTGTTCATGGGGGGGATATGAAATGGAACCTGGTAAAATAATGGGGTTATATAGGGGTTATATAGGGATAATGGAAAAGAAAATGGAAGCTACTATTTAGGGTTTAGGGTTCCTGAACCCCAAAAGTATGTGAAGTACTGGCCTTTATGGCTGTTATTATGGGTTTAGGGCTATGATTTTACATACTTTTGGGGTTTAGGTAGTTGCATAGCCACCCAGCTCCTATCCATACGTCCCCGGCAGTCCAAGTGTCCAACAATGGCACGCTAGCCATTTTATTGGTAGCTGTAGTTGTGCGAGAGGTCGTGGGGTGATGCAAATGGGGTACGAAGGAGTGCAGTATCGGTTTCAGTGAAGTACATGCATACCCGGTGATGGGACACTACGGGACGTGATAGTGGGGGGCTTTTCTCTTTTCCAAGATTCCGACAAAAGCCATCCCATTCCTTTGGGTCTGCTTGGGGGGTTTAGGATTTAGGGTTTAGAGTCCATCCCATTCTTTTGAGTTTGCCTGGGGGCCCCCATGTTTGCACTTACAAGCACCAAGTTCTCCCTGGATCATGATGTTGGGGATCAATATTCTTGTTTTTGCAGATTGCTTGGGAGACTCTAGGTCGACGACATCGTCTTGGAGTTCGGGGGCGCGTCCATGCCGGCTTGCTCTGCACTGCTGCGTATATGCTCCCCGGTGTTTGAGAAGATGTTCGCATCTGGCACCAAGGAGGCCCAGGACAAGCGTATTCCAGTGACATTGGGAACAGAGGATGATTCTTGGCTGTCTTCTGCCTGGCTGTTAGGACTTTAACTTTTTGGGCTTCCTACTTTTTATATTAAGGAGGCTAAGGTTTAACTTTTAGGGTGGGTCCTAAAGACAGCTAAGGATTTTCGAGTCTTTTACAGTCTCTTGATGCCTGGAGGGTTCCAGGTTGACAAGATCAATGCGAGGAATGCGGAAAGTCTGCTCAAGCTCAGTGAACATTACGAGGCCACCATTTCCCTAAACCCTAAACCCTAAACCCTAAACCGTGTGAGGGCGTGTCAACGGTTTATGTCAGGGGTCCCTAAAGGCTCCCAATACGATTTACAACACGGTTTAGGGTTTAGGGTTTAGGGGGATGCTTAGCATCTCTATACGGCAGATTCCATTAATAGTGGGACCAAAATATAGACCCCCAGACCCTAGGGCTCTAAGTCTACAAATGTTACCTACAATGGGACCCAAAGTTTTGGAAACATTACGTACACTGGGAAATTTGAAGCCTGAGTGATTTGCTAGAATGGCATGCCAGAATTGGAAAGTAGGCCAGATTGCCCGATTGGCCCTGCAGGTTTGTTGGTCATCCGTGGAGGTTCATTTGTACTTCGCAACTAGTTAAAGATAACGATGCAGCCAAGGGTTTATGTGCGAGCTTTGGAAATGCGAGCTTTGCAAACAAGGAGCTTGTCAGCCAGCCTACAGAAAGCTGAAGATTGGGTTTGAAGTGTCCGCCCAATACGAGATGACATACTCCGATACCCAAAATCCTGAACCCATAAGACGTGCCTCTATCCAGAGTTGGTAGCTTCTATAGAAGAAGGGGGACCCAATGCGGGGACCAAATGCTACAGTTCTTGATTATAGGGAGCCCCAAAGAGGTACCCCTAATCCCATTTCACGGACTGGCTAGGTCGCCTTCATCAAGCTGGCATGTGAGGATGTGCTCATAAACAGCCCTGCCACAATTTCAATGCTTACAAAGGCCAAGACACAGAATTGGAGCAGGCTGTACAGCAGCTGCCTTGAGAAGTTGGCGCGCACGGCAATTCTTCTTCAGCGCAAGGACGTGGATGACTTGGCGAAGAATTCTCCGGAGATTCTGGCTGATCTTGCTTGGGAAATGAGGAAGTATGTAAACCCAAATGATGAGGATGACTCTGATCAGCAAGATGATGACCTTGAGGAAGATGGGGGACTAGGCCCGTTCCAGAAGAAGCCCAAGAAGCCATCCAAAATTGATGACCTTGAGGAGGATGATGGACCAGGGAAGCCCAAGAAGAAGCCCCTCAAAAGAAAAGGCAAGAGGGGCCTTTGATTCGATGGAGACCCTATTGCTTTATGGTGCCTAATCGGGAATGAGGGATGGATCCCTGTATACTCCCCAGTACTTGTCTCTGTAACCCAAACTTGAATTGCTCACGAGGCACAGGGAGTTGATCCCATTCAAAGTGGTTTCTCGAACCTTTACTTAAAACATAGTCGGTCTGAAAACCGTATGTAAAAATATACAAGATATGTACATATTTCTGTGTACACACACACACACGCACGCCATTCCTAGGGTTTCCTCAGGGCCCGGTTTTTTTCAGAAACCTCCTGATGAGCTTTACGAACCTCCACAGAGAGGACCGGCGCAAGGAACGTATACGACGGGTTTGGGGGCACCGCTGCAATCACATGCGGACTTCTCTCAGAAAGGGTTTAGGGTTAAGGGTCGTTGGTACTTTTCAAACCCTACAGATATGCAGGCCTTTCAAAGGGCTTATGGAAGTTCGAAACAAGGAACTCCCACATAGTAACTGCCAACCTGAACGTGCTTTAGGGTTTAGGATTAGGGTTTAGGGTGTAACTCAGCTTCTGACAGATTATTTACTACGACTATTTACGACTACTACAAGTATGACTTCTACGGTTATTCTTATGAAAATTAACTGACCCCTAAAGCCTAGACCGTACTAGTACTACTAGCGCATAGAGGACAATCCAGCGCCAGCGCGTCTTTGGAAATGAGTTACTTAGGGGCTCAGGCGCACTCAGTAAGTAGGTTATTATTGGCAGAGAAGATGGAAGCTACCATATTGTGTATGGTTGGGGTGGGGGATTCACTAAGTAGGGTAATTGGAGCAGTAATTCCGGCTATCAGATGGCGTATGATGATCATGCCTATGCTTCCAAAGTCCCCCTGACCCTCCAAGCAGTAGGCCGCGACATTTTTGCAATACATATGCGGGGTCATAGCCCAAACCTTGAAAAACCCTAAAGCCCTAAAACCCTAAACCCTACACCCTACTAGGTGCCCAGTGTTAAGGGGGTTGCGGTTGCCGTTGCCTTCTAGCGACTTCTTCACCCAGAACAAGATGCCCCTATAGCACTGCATTCTGGGACCCAACGTAGGCTAGTCTAAGGGGAGTTAGATAAGGGATTATATATATATATATCTATATGGTAGTTTCCCAAAATAGGGGGACCCCAATATAGGCCCCCAAATACTATAGTCCTTGTGATAGGGACCCCAAAAAGGTACCCATAATTTGGGGAAACCCCTATATATACACGATTATCCCTGGTTATGGACCCTCAGGGGTTTGGGGTGTAAGGTGGAGGGTGAGCTCCTGTCAATGTTTTAGCTCCTTTAGCGGTGGACATGGTGGTCCCTCTTGTAGTTTCGTATAGTCCCGAATATAAAATCCTAATGAGGACCCCATGTCCATTAAATTCTGTAGGAAATATTGATTGTAGTAGCTCATGGGGACGTTACAAGTTTTCTGGGGGTACCTAGTCATGGTTCTCTTGGCGTCATTTGCAGAAGCGACCTTGTGAGGACCCGTTCCATAGCCAATGTCCATGCCATACAACGTTTCAGGTTTTAGGGTCCAGGGCTTAGGATATAACACTTCGGGTTTAGGGACTAGGGTTAGGGTTTACCGTACCACTCACTACCATACCATACCCCGCAGCACTAGATTTCGCCGGTTGTATAATATCTTGTCACAATTTTGAGAGTATTTGTTATTGAGGTGGTGGTGGGGGGGGGTTGCCATAAGGGGATGGTAATTGCAATCGTTTTTTGGCCGATTCAAGCGTAGGGATCGTTTTTTTTTTTTTTTTTT